AAACATTTCTTTTAAAAGCACAGACAGGAAAAAACAAACAAAGGACCCCCCCCCTTCCCACCTCACTGCCCTTTTCCGAAAAAAAATTAATAAAAAAGAAGAAAGAAATGCTCAATCAAAACTTGTTTTAACATTTACCCTTTCTCCTTTTTACTTCATCACACTCAGTGATGATGAGCCATTTCCTTTTCGTCTTTAAAAAAAACACAGAAACAGGAAAAGAGCCCCACTCCCACCCTTCCCAGCAACAACACAACAATAAAAAAAAACCCAACAACAACCCACCCTCCAAAAAACCAAACAAAAACAAAAAACCTTCCTTTGCCTAAAATGGTAATGTAAAAAGAAAGAAGAAATATGAAAAAAACCCAAACATTCCAACTCTTACCCTTTCTTCTTTTTACTTCTCCACTCACAGTGACGATGAGTCATGTCTTCTAAAAGCAAGAAAAAACAAACAGATAAAGAACCGAAGTGAAAAAAAATAAATAAAGGTCCCCTGTCCTGAAAAGGTAATGAAAAAAGAAAGAAGAAACACTGAAACTAAAAGTCATTTCAACACTCACCCTTTTTTCTTCGTTTCACTTCCTCCCCCTTACCCACAGTGCTCAGGCCCAGAAGCGTGTGTGCCACGTTTGAAACCCTCCAGGTCGGGGGCCAGACATACCTAGTGTCCAGGGGGGTGGCTAAGTATGAGGACAGCCTATCTGTGTGCGCCGGACCTACTGTCCAGGGCGTGGCCATTCAGAACGAGACCGAGTACCAGGCATTGAAGGGAACTGTAGAAAAGCTCGGAGACCCCATTTTCAGAGTATGGCTTAAAACTTCCAAGGTATGTTCTAAAAGTGTATAACATGATATTATTATTATGTTTTATATTATTTTATGCCATATTTGGAGCTGTTTTAGCTTTGCACTTCCGGTGGAATATATCATGTGAAATATAAGAATTATATATTCGCCTTCTACTTCTATCTCTCTATAGGCCTTAAGCAAAGTAGGCCTAGCCTAGTAAAAACTGAAAAACTTCCTTGCGAAGCGCGTTCACCCCGGAAAATGGGCAATGGGCACTCAAACACGTCTAGTCTCCCAGTCTCGCTATCCCTTATAGTCGAGTAGTGCAAATCTTTCTACGTTGCCCTTAATTTTGTTTCAAATAATGGGCATCATTATGAACCGGGATTACGTCAGAGTATGGTGCTGTTTACGTTCAGTTCATTAAGTAACATCTTTTTCTCGAATAAAATAACCATTGTTCTAATGGGTCATCATAATAATGTAACTTGTCATGTGCAGCTAAACTGCCCCCCTTTAACTTAATTAGCCCAACTGACGTTTAGGAATTGCTTTTTCCACCCAGACATTGTAGCAGCACAACAGATAAACACAGTTTGTGTATGGACTGTGGACACTAAATTTCAATTCTCCAAATGAGATCTACAACAACACTACTGAAGAGCGAAACCACGTAGATCTAGAATCTAGATCTAGATCTAGGCCTATATATCAGCTTGAATAAATGATCATCAAATTAACAGTTTTGAAATTTGATAGTCACTTTATCAAACAAAAAACCTCCACTGTTTAGCTAACTTGCATTGCCTTTCGAATTTCCGTTTAAATTAATTCTATCACTACATGATATACTAAACAATAAACTATATGAATGAAAGAAAATTAAACTTTAAGACTATATATAACGGGAAAATATGATTCTTCAACAATACGAGTATAACACTCTTGTTTAATTAATGACTTTTTTTGGAAATAATAACAGTTACTTCCCGTGCTATTTTGATACTCTTATCACACCCCCCCCCCTAACTCTCTCTCTCTCTCTCTCTCTCTCTCCCCCCCTCCCTTATAAAATCAAGAATATCAGAAATCGAAAAGATTTATGTGAATTCTGCAAAAACCTGACCTGATAGACAAAAACTAACTCCATATTTGGAATCACCACATCAGATTCCAAATAAATTGACAATTTTTGTTGCTAAAAAGCCTTTTTTGATCTTTGACCAATGTAGATCTAATGCAATGCCAGTGCGCTAGATCTAGAATAAAAAATTCGTGGTGCTACTTATTTTTAAATATCTCCTCAACTATCGAACATAGGTTCTCCAATTTTTGCACAGTGACTTGTATCAGTTTGTCTTAACAGATCAACATTTTTATAAACACCTGCAAGCTGCATTCTTGAAAATTCCTTAATAAATACTAATTAAAAATCCAAGTGGGTGTTTTTTTCAGATTTTTAAATGTTTACAGTTGGGGTAATACATGTATTGCTATTAATAGCAAGTCCGTCAGATTTTTCTACTCGGGACATTATGCTTATTGAACGCATGTTTTTGGGAGATATTAGTGCAAAATGTGTTCAGTATAACAATAATTCCTTGTAACAAGTTTTCCAAGTAAAAATTGTCATTGATGAGCTGCAACGTAATCCATATGCGTAATCAAAATGTATGTGAGAAGCGGGAAGTGCTGTGAACAATACCATTTTACGTGTGACAGAGATTTCAAGTATTTTATATAAAAATTTATGAAGAAAAGTGTTTTTAATCAGCCCCCAATTGTTGTGGAAAAATTTATTTATTCAGGACAAATTGATACAAACTGCTATGCAAAGTATGGACGACATTGATTTACACGTTAAAGAGATATTTGAGGATAAGTTGCACAACAATTTTTGACCTCACTAAAATAATATCTAACTCCTTGTCTTTGGTTAGTTTTGGGAACGCAGTTTAAAATAAACATCAAAGTCATCTCTATTCTAATGACAGCATGCCATATTTATGCAGGTTCTTTCAACTTTTGAATGGTAAGTTTTCTGATCACTTTGCTTATATTTACGTTATGATAGTTTTGTTTGGGGTTTGTTTTGTGGAGGGAGACGACATACGGATAGCACGACTTATAAATTAGCCTGTTTAAAATTAAAGAAAAATAATCCAGATTTTTTCCAATTCTCAATCTGATTCCGACGGGTATGAAAATGTTTTGGCAGGCGCTTTTTGAAACGCTGCGTTCTAAGTAGCTCCCAGTCCCATGCAATTTGAAACTCCAGTACTAGATTTAGATCTAGTAGCCATCGTTTCTAGATAATATATTGTAGCTCTGCTTGAATTGTGGACGTTTTCTCAGTTTCTTGATAAACCTCATAGGATTTGACTACTTTTTTAAATGACGTTTTTTTTATTCCGATCAATATTGAGTAGATCTAGATCTCGATTAGATCTAACAATTGTTTCTGACATTGTTTGTACAAAGTAGACTAGACGTAGTCTTGTTCATCTCTCATATTCATTATAATCATTTGAGTTTGAGTTTGAGCAAGTTAATCGAAAGACGCTTGGATAACAATAACAAGACGGTGCAACTCGGTATAAGCAGTATTTCCTGTCCGCAGTGTCGTCATACAAGAGATCTACCTAAAAATATTTACTTTAAGTTAAGCCTAGAGAATGTATACAAGCTGTCTACGTTCTCTTAGTCTAATGTTCAGTGGTTCCATGCATGGCTTCGAATCCCGGTCCCGGATGGGTTTTTTTTTCTTCTCCTAAGCCTAAACTAAAAAATAAAAAATTAGACTCACAGACCAAGGAAAGCCACTATTGAACTTTAACCAGACCTAAATTGGTGAAAGGAAAAGTATAGGCTACACTAAGGCCTACTTTGTACAGAGCTCCTCCTGGGGGCAAAACCAGAATGTGCGTGCTTCATCGCTAGGCCTACTTTTAAAAAACTACAAAGCAAAAAGTTATAATTGTGGGGGAAATTTGTTGGTCAGTCGAGAAGAGGAGCCAAAAAACCCAACAAAAAACAATACAAAACGAAGCAAAAAAATCATTTCCAGGACCGGGATTCGAACCCACGCTCTTAAAATAATGGTCTGGCTTCAAACGCAGACGCGCTCTCCCTTTGGCCATCAGAACTTCCAACAACGAAAGGTAGATTAAGCTTCATATAACAAACGGCATTTTGTTTAGCACTGGCGCTAACCGCAACGCTGCGTTGCAAATAGGCACTTCCAAATGTTTTCATGTGAGACTCTAGAATGGAATCTCTTGTCCAATTCACTGGTCATTTGAAGTTTGTTGGTACGCTTGATCTTTTGATCCTACTTGTGAAATTGCCAGTTGTAATCACTCTTTGAAACTCGTGTTTACAACTTGGCAATTTCACTCGAAGGATAAATCATGATCTTACTCCACAACTCACGTAATAAATTCTTTATGTCGCTATCTCAGAATTACAAAGTTCTATCTGCTCAGTACTTACTTTGTTGAGAATATTTACGTAAAAATATTCTTTCTCAACATGTCAAACCTTTTCGAAAGCAGTTCTTTGAACATCCTGATAACGACTCAGAATAATCCTACAGTTTCGATGGGGCAGATAGATCAGTTGCTTTTTGACCTCATGTTTTTAGTAACTCGAAACGACCAAAACTGTAAGAAGGAACTTCGTAATTCTAAGGTAGCGATGTATCTATTGGTGTCTACAATGAATTCTTGTTTTGTTATGTTGACAGTTAAACGTTACGTGTATAATGCTTGCATGTTTGACACAAGATACGTTAACAATCTTTAAGATAACACCCATTACTCCACATGCTAAAAAAAATTGACGAGTGCCTGATTCCCTCGTGTCGTAACACATGATATGTTTCTCAAGTGAAGCATGACGTTTGATATTATGCATAGAGTAGTTCAGTTTCAGTTTCATTATGTTCTCGAGAAATGTTGGCGTTTCTTTCCCCATTATTCTGATCCTTACTTCATTCTTTGCTTTCTGTCTCAGCGATATTCTAATGGCGTCAGTAGCCTAGATAGTTCTGACGTCGTGTCCTTGGGAAAGGCACTTTACACGAATTTCCCATTTGGCTGGGTCCTTTCGGAGATGGACGTTAAACTCGGGGGTCCCGCCTCTTTGATATCCTAACAGTGTTGATAGAGGCGTTAAAGCCCTACCATCTCACCATTTTAACGATAATATAGAGGTTCTTCTGTACTTAACTTCGAAAGCTGTAATTCTTTTTGTATCTTGTTCATTGGTGATCTATGCTTCACATCCATAGTGTGCTGCGGTGGAGAATAATATAGTACGTTTTAGAAGTACTTATGTGGAAAACCATAAAAATGGTGTGAACATTTTGGTTGACATAAAAAATAAACTTTAGAATTATTGTCCTTTGTTTGGCACCTCGCATTCTTGTCTGCGAGGGTGTGCAATAATTACTGATGGTTTCTGTTAAATCTCTCTTGCGAAGTTGTGATTCTCTTTCACTTTTCTCAACAGAATCAACACGCTCAGTTCACCTGGGCTCAAGGAGACTTATTGGGCGCATCAAACTGGCCGACATTTTCTCAAACTATTCATTACTACGGCGCCGTGCCCCGCTGTGCGGACCAGTGTGTCTCGATGGTAAAACCCAGAGTGCCTAACGATCTCGTCTTCTTACAAACGGATTGTTGTACGACAGAATACCGTCATCTGTGCGAGGACGTGGACGAGTGTGAGACGGGCACACATACATGCCACGTGAGCACACAGAAGTGTCGTAATGATCTGGGCACGGGCTATTCCTGTGTGAACATTCCCCCCACTCCTACAGCCTCGGGAGACCTCGGGGTCTTTCTACAAGGCTCTGACGTGACGATGTATTGTACTTACACTGGCCCGGGGTTTCCCAGCAAGTTTACATGGTACAAAGCCGGATTGTATTTCACTGATCAGAACCAAACCATTTTAATGATATCTCACGCCGTCTTTTTGGAGGATGCTAGTTACCGATGTACTGTGACGGTAGATGGAGTGGAGTCGGCTCTGAGCAATGGCATTTCATTGGTAGGATCTTTTCCTCCCGACCAGCCCACACTTAACGTAACACGTGGCCTTCCCGTGCCAGCCGGAGAGAGTGTGACCTTGAACTGTACCACATCGATAGATGGCAACGACTTTCTTTTTTTGTGGAAAAAAAACGGTTTGGTATTTATTAAACAAGCACAGCCGGATCTCCACATCGTCAGTTTCTTTCCCGGAGACTCTGCCTCGTACACCTGTCAAGTTCAGAACACGACGTCACAGCTGCTATCCCCAGAAAGTAATGACATACTTCTCCAGTTTTTTCTAACAACTCCGGAGTTGTCTGTCTACACGTTGCCCAGAGTGGCCGGAGACACGCCAAGAAAAACTCTCCAAGTAGTGAACGGTAGTGACGTGGAACTCACGTGTAAGAGCCCTGACCCAGTTGAACATTTCCTCTGGAAAACACCCCAGAGTTTGACCACCAGTATGACCTTATCTGAGACGTTTGAGTTGCTTAATTTCACATCTGTTTATGCCGGAAACTATATGTGTTTCTCAAAGATAGGAGATGTGAAGTCAGCAGAAAGCAACAACGTCACAATTGAGGAAAGTACCAGACCCAGACTGACGTCATCTCTAACGAATGTTCCAGAAGGAACTTTGGTAAAACTTTCTTGTCAATCTCATAACCCCGTGCATCTCAGGTTCCGCTGGCAGAGGGATGGCGTCACATTCGGGGAAGGAACTGAACCCACGTATAAGATCTTAAACTTCGAGAAAAAAGATGAGGGCGAATACCGTTGTCTCGCAGGCGACATCAGGCAAGATTGGACTGTGAGCACAGCAGAGAACCTGACCGCCATTCCATACAACTCACTCTGTAAATGTATGTGCATTGCCAATTCGACCACAGTGGAAATCTCTAGGCAAGAAATACACCTAGTGACGTCAGAAATTGAACGGAATTTGAGTGTGGACCACACCCACCTCTCGTCTACCGTGAGAAAACGGACGTCAGCACCTGATGAACGGAAGTCCAGCGTGTCTACAGGGTCTGGGGCCATCGTCATGTTGTCTCTGGTCTTCTGCGCCATCGTCATCCCCGACTTGGTGACTGCCTTCTATTATATCAAGGCTACAGTCCAAGCTGGGGGGTTACAAACCTAGACGAGGATATTAAATTGTATTTTACAAAGCTAGAAAAAGAAGCTTACAGCTAGTATTTTACAAGGCTAAAAGATACAGCTAGTTATTTACAAACTTAGAAGCTAGTATAATTAATATTGTATTTTATGAGGCTTGAAGCGCATAGGTAGTATTTTACAAAGATAAAAGCTTATAGATAGTTTTGTACAAAGTTAGAAGAATAAGCTTACAGATAGTATTTTACAAGGCTAAAAGATACGATTAGTTACTTATAAACCTAGAAGCATAATGATAGTATTTTTACAAGGCTAAAAGACATAGCTATTTTTTATTTTTTACAAACGTAGATGCTTACAAGGCTAGAAGATGCAGCAAATTATTTACAAACATAGAGGCTTACAGAATATAGTATTTTACAAAGCAAGAAGAAAAAATGTACACATAGCCTTTTACAAGGTCAAAAGTTATTTACAAAGCTAGAAGTCTACACAGTGTAATATACGACGCTGAAAGATGTAGCTAGTTACTTACAGAGTTAGAAGTTTACAGAGCAGCTTCTTATTTGAAAGATCTAAGTGTACGGATAGTATCTTACATTGCTAGAAGCGTCCTGGTAGTATCAAAAGTGTACAGACATTAATTTACAAGGCTATAAGAGTACAGCGAGCATTTTTACAAAGATAGAAGAGTTGAGACAGTATTGTAAGTGTACATATGAAATGTACAGATAGTATCTATTGACAAACTTAATAATAATAATAGATAGCATTTGTATAGCGCAAATCCCCGCTCAACAGCAGGCTCTATGCGCTTTACACTATATTATTACCCCAGCAGACCATAGAACACTCCGAAACATTCTCACCTTCCTGGGAAGCATACAGTGCAAGCAGCTGATTAAGCGCTCAAACACTAACAAATTGACAAGAACTTTCGCTGTCTATACCAGGGTACCCATTCCCACCTGGGTGAAGTGAGGAAAATTCGTGCAAAGTGCCGTTCCCAAGGACACAACGTCGGGTCCCTGACGGGATTCGAACCCACGACCTTACGGTTGCGAGTCCGAGAGCCTAACTCACTTACAGCCCGTCACGCCATCTGGCGTTTAGGGCAGCAACAAAGGATCTCCAGCTCTATCTGTTTTGGGCCATCTTGGTCAACGCCCCCTCCCCACAAATGGTTTCTGGACTTCATTTCAGACTCTACTGTTGGTCTCCAGGTCACTTTGGGTCTGCCCCTTTTGCGATGTCCTTCGGGTGTCCAGTGGAGGACAATCTTTACAAGAGAGTCTGGTTCTCTTCTCAGAACATGCCCAAACCATCTCCCTCTTCTCCTTGTTATTATGGTGGTCAAGTCCTCTTACCTACATTGACAAAGCAAGTAATCTATTTGTAGTATTCTACAAAGCTAGAAGCGTACAGATTGTATAAGAAGAATTATATATAATACAATTTTTAAAAGCTTAAAATGGTACAGAGAGTATTTTACAAAAATAAAAGCATACCAATACAGATAATATTTTACAGGGTGGGAAGCGTTCAGATAGTCTATTATCTATTTGTGGTGGCCGAATTTTGCTATTCAAAAAGCTTTTTAATAACTGCATCGATCGACATGCAGTTTTCACCAAAAGATTCTTTAAAATATTCTCCAGATCATGACGCCCTTCGTTTTTTCAGTTTTGAGACAGTTTTGCTGCAAAAAGCTAAATTTCTTTATTTCGCCGATCGCTTTTGTGGGCCGATGTTTCTGTCTCTGTAATTTTAGAAAAACCGGAGCGGAAGTGATATTTTGCTAGGTGCATTTTGTTTTGAGAGTATAGATCTAGATCTAGACCTTCTACTTTTTTTGCATCAGTCAAGATATATAGCACCATTCCAGTAGAAGGTAAATATAGTAGGCCAATGACTTTCAGTTGATGTTTATGCACCCATCATTCCTCTCATCGAAAGGGGGCCCAGCTTGTATTTTACCAAGCTAAAAACCTACAGGCAGTATTTTATTCGTAGATTACATTTTAGTACTTTTGGTGATCATGTGATTGATGTAAAGCAATCAGAGCTTATACTCGTCTGGGATAGAACACCATTATATGAATACAACCTGTTATTATCTGTTATCTATTATTATCATTTTTATCATTATCATTATCATTATCATTATCATTATCATCATCCTTATTGTTATTATTATTATTGTTATTATTATTATTATTATTATTAATTATTATTATTATTATTATTATTATTATTATTATTATTATCATCATTATTATTATTATTATTATTATTATCATTATCATTGTTATCATTTTTATGGCACAAGGCTAGAAGCATACCGTGTGAGTTCTCAAGTTTCCTGTGCTCTGCCTACAGTGAACAATCTTTTCAAAAATACACAGAACGCGGCTTCATAACGTAATCCTCAGTGCACTCACACCAGTTTCAATGACTGGAACATAAGTATGTTGCTTCCATTGATACAATTATTGTTTAGATCAATTCGCTTGTACAATGCAAGAATGTCAATTTAAAAGAGAAAAATAAAATCTTGATTGTTTTTTTTTTTGGTTTTTTTTCTGTTTCTTTTGTCTGTGTTGTTTTATCATTTGTTTGACTGTTTTCTTTGTTGTTGTTTTTAAAATTGATTGATTAATTGATTAAATAATTGATCAATGTATTATCCATTTACTTATTTATTTATTTATTTATGCATTTATTTATTTATCTGTGTGTTAGTGTATGTGTGTGTTTATGTGTGTGTGTGTGTGGGGGGGGGGGGGGGGGTAATTGGTGTAACTTCTTTTTCTACAAAAATTATTTAACAGAAAGTGGAGACGAAGGCAAATGACAAAACATGGTTAAAGAGCAGAAAAGGAGGTGAAGATGGAAGGAGAAAATTTTAGAGAGAAAAATGTTTCCGTTGCTGACATTTTTCAAACCCAGGAACTTTTGAATGAAGGGCAAACACCATAAAGTCTAGACCACGAGAGCCCTCTGACGTTGAATGTCCTCCCCCACCCCCCCCCCCACCCCCCCCCCCACCCCCGCCCAGGGCAATGCCGCTGACTGAAGTGTCTCTAAGCCATTCCCAAGGGCGGATATTAACATGTTCTTATGCACAGTAGAATTGTAAACGGGCTGATTTCTCAATGTCATGCTCATACTGTGTCGGAACAACGTAGAGGGACCTGCTGCTTTTTTGTATATATGTCACTCTCTTGTTAACTGCTATTTCCGGAGTGCCTTGATAGTCGAAGCAGACTTTGTGCTGTTGAGGCTAGAGAGGTGAGCAGAGTAAGCCTGATTTTCTGTAAAGACGTCTCTGTTGACATCCACCCCAAGGCGTTCATATGACCTTATACAGTTGCGAGCACCGTAAAACACTATTAAAGCAAAACAAAAAGTTAAATGTCCTAACAACAACAAAGGCGCACGGAGAACGCTCAGGGATCGCTTTCTCTGATGTTGAGTCCAACCTATTCTCATCTCTTTTCGGTGACAATGGTCAAAGTGATGAGGCTGCTTTTGATAAATACAGGCCTAAACGTCCCTAAAATAAACATAGAATAGGAAAAGACTGTTAAGAGGTCAAGATATTGTCCATTTTTCTTCTTTCTTTTGTTGTTGGTATTTTGTTGTTGTTGACTTAAGCTCTGTGAATACTCATTGAAGTGCCAAAATGTTGTGTTTATAACTTGAGTACTTTTTAGAATGACCAATACAACATACAAAAGAAAACACCGAATGACAAGCACAAAACATAAAGGTAAAGCGATCGGCGAAATAAAGAAATTGGCCTACTATATTTACCTTGTATGTTGTTTTGTACTACTCTCGTTAAAGGTAAAGCATAAAAGATCAAAAGACTAGATGTTTACACAATCAACATTTTGTACCTTAAAAATCTCCAGTATAGTCTTTCTTCAACTCTCTCTCTCTCTCTCTCTCTCTCTCTCTCTCTCTCTCTCTCTCTCTCTCTCTCTCTCTCTCTTTTTCTCTCTCTCTCTCTTTCTGAGTCCTTTGTCTGTCTGTCTGTCTGTCTGTCTGTCTGTCTGTCTGTCTGTCTGTCTGTCTGTCTGTCTGTCTGTCTGTCTGTCTGTCTGTCTGTCTGTCTGTCTGTCCCTCCTTGGCGACCAACGTCCAAAGTTTAAAAAAATTATTTATTTATTTATTAATTAATTTATTAATTAATTTAAAATTTTTTTTTTTTTTTTTTTTTTTTTTTTGGGGGGGGGGGGGGGGGGCATTTTTAGATAAATTTGTATGTTTTGTGCTTGTCATTCGGTGTTTTCTTTTGTATGTTGTTTTGTTGTTGTTTTTTTTGTTTACCCCTTTGTAGCTACTGTTTTATAGTTCGTATTCAGGCAACACCAACTTACTGAGTGATCTTACTATACAAGAGTTTGCACAGGGAAACTACCCTCGGTACCTCTTGGTCATTAATATATAACAAACTGTGGGCCTGTATTAGTCTGTTGAGAAAACATCTCTGCATTTTGAATGCTTAAAAACGACACTTCTGTGGGTCTGTTCTAGTTTGCTGAGAAATCTTCTCTGCCATTTGAATGTGTAGTGGCGTCGGTAGTCTCGTGGTTTGGCTACTGTATTCGTAATCGTGAGACAGTGAGTTCGGGGGTTCGAGCCTCACCTCGGTCCGACGTTATGTCCTTGTGAAAGAAACTTTACACGAAATTCCCATTTGGCGCGGTCGTTTCGGGGCTGGACGTTAAATTCGGAGGTCCCGCTTCTTAAGTAACATAACAGCATTGATAAGGGCGTTCAATCGATACCATTTCACCATTAAAAAACAAGTTTAATATAATCTGCATGTCTATTCTAGTTTGTTGAGAAATTTTGACAACCCTTTGGACATAATCTAACCAAGCGTAGGGATATTCTATTCTGTTGAAAAAATCTTGGCAACTTTTAATTACTTTTTAAAAATTGTATATCAAACTGTAGGCCTGTTCTAGCTTGTTGAGAAAACTTCTCTGCCCTTTAAATATATAATAAACTGCAGGCCCATTCTAGTGTGTTGAAAAATATTGACCACCCTTTAACTGTATAACAAACTATAGTCCTATTGTAGTCTGTTGAGAAATCTCGGCCACACTTAAATTGTATAATAAACTGAAGGTACATTCTAATCTGTTAAGAAGTCTCCTCTGCCTTTGAATATAATATGATAAAACTGTGGGCCTACTCTAGTCTGTAGAGAAATATTGACCACCCTTTAAATGTATAACAAACTGAAAATCAAGACCCATTCTAGTCTTTCGAGAAATATTCTCAGTCTTTGAATACATAATACGCTATGGGCCTATTCTAGTCTGTTGAAAATATCGACCACCCTTTAATTGTATAACAAAAATTCAGCATTCTAGTCTGCTGAAAGACCCATTCTGCCCTTTGAATTAAAACCCGACGTCTCTGTTCGCGCTATTATGCCATTATAGGATTATGCGCTCCTTTCACATATTAATATGAAGCTTTACTCTACATTTTTTGATGGTATGAACAATGTTTCTTCAAGTGAAACCCTGATTGACTCTTTTCAGCTGAAACAACACCACCTCCATTTCCACCCATATTATCTGGAATCAGCGCTTCGAAAGTTCATAAAAAAATAATCCCCAACAGAACGGAAGAACGAAATGGATCATTTCTCTACAGATCAGTTCAAAACACTTCCATCCATCGCGTGCATGATATTAATAGAATCTGTGGAGCAGACGAAGACA